GGGGGCAGCGAAGGGAGGGTTCGGGCATGCACTGGAGCCCTTGAAAACACTCCATTCTAACAGCGGGGGTGGGAAGGGCGGGGGGAGCGGGGGGGGCGGGGGCAGCGAAGGGAGGGCTCGGGCATGCACTGGAGCCCTTAAAAACACTCCATTCTAACAGCAAGGCAGCGGGAGGGGTGGGCAGGAGTGGGGCATGCACTAAACCCCTTAAAACACGCCAGTCTGACAGCAAGGCAGCGGAGGGGGTCGGCGGGAGGGGGGGGGCGGGGGGAGCAGAAGGGGCGGGGGGGGGCGGGAGCAGCGAAGGGAGGGCTCGAGCATGCACTGGAGCCCTTAAAACACTCCATTCTAACAGCAAGGCAGCGGGAGGGGTGGGCAGGAGTGGGGCATGCACTGGAGCCTTAAAACACGCCAGTTGCCCTTGAAAACACTCCATTCTAACAGCAAGGCAGCGGGAGGGGTGGGCAGGAGGAGTGGGGTGGGAAGGGCGACGGGGAGCGGGGGGGGGGCAGCGGGAGGGGGGGTGGGAAGGGCGGGGGGGAGGGGGAGCGGGGGGGTGGGGGGGGCGGGGGCAGCGAAGGGAGGGCTCGGGCATGCACTGGAGCCCTTGAAAACACTCCATTCTAACAGCAAGGCAGCGGGGGGGGTGGGCAGGAGTGGGGTGGGAAGGGCGAGGGGAGCAAGGCAGCGGGAGGGGGGGTGGGAAGGGCGGGGGGGCGGGGGGAGCGGGGGGGGCGGGGGGGGCGGGGGCAGCGAAGGGAGGGCTCGGGCATGCACTGGAGCCCTTAAAAACACTCCATTCTAACAGCAAGGCAGCGGGAGGGGTGGGCAGGAGTGGGGCATGCACTAAACCCCTTAAAACACGCCAATCTGACAGCAAGGCAGCGGAGGGGGTCGGCGGGGGCGGGGGGGCGGGGGGAGCGGGGGGGGCGGGGGGGGCGGGGGCAGCGAAGGGAGGGCTCGGGCATGCACTGGAGCCCTTAAAACGCAAGGCAGCGGGAGGGGTGGGCAGGAGTGGGGCATGCACTGGAGCCCTTTACACACGCCAGTTTGACAGCAAGGCAGTGGAGGGGGTCGGCGGGGGTGGGAAGGGCGGGGGGAGCGGGGGCAGCGGGGGGGGCGGGGGGGGCGGGGGCAGCGAAGGGAGGGTTCGGGCATGCACTGGAGCCCTTGAAAACACTCCATTCTAACAGCAGGGGTGGGAAGGGCGAGGGGAGCGGGGGGAGCGGGGGGGGCGGGGGCAGCGAAGGGAGGGCTCGGGCATGCACTGGAGCCCTTAAAAACACTCCATTCTAACAGCAAGGCAGCGGGAGGGGTGGGCAGGAGTGGGGCATGCACTAAACCCCTTAAAACACGCCAGTCTGACAGCAAGGCAGCGGAGGGGGTCGGCGGGGGGGGGGGCGGGGGCGGGGGGGGGCGGGGGGGCAGCGAAGGGAGGGCTCGAGCATGCACTGGAGCCCTTAAAACACTCCATTCTAACAGCAAGGCAGCGGGAGGGGTGGGCAGGAGTGGGGCATGCACTGGAGCCCTTAAGGGGGGGGCGGGGGGGGGCGGGGGGGGCGGGGGGGGGCAAGACTATGGGTCTTCACTAGCGCCTCCCCCGCTCAAAGCTCGGGTCGGCGGATATAGTATTTGCCGGCAGGTTGCGCATGCAGTTAGAAGTGCTTGCCCACATGCAAGCAGAGTTCAAGACTTGCAAGCAGAGTTCAAGACTTGCAGGCAGCGCCTCCTGCAAGTCCTGAAGCAATTCCTACACATAGAGAGGCTGGGATGATCCGGGATGCTTGTGCCATGGTCAAGAATCCTGGCTATTTCACCATGGATTGCGGATGATTACGGCATGAGCCATAGGTGGCGGACTCCTCGCCGACACGGCCAGAAAGCTCTTCGCACAGGGATGTCCTGAGCTTATTGACACTCCACAGACACTCCGCGTCTGAAGTTCTGAGCCCAGAGCAGTTCTGAGGCCGACCCTTCTCAGTTCTACATGGTGTTCAACGAAAAGATTCAGGATGTGCTTCAGCACTATACCTATGACTCCTCACACGTCGACTCATGGAAGACTGACATCGTTGCTGCGTGCGGCGATGCAGTGCAGGGAACGGGCTGGTGGTTCCAGTTTGAGTGTGTCATCATTCCAGCTGCAGAAGAGCTCCGAGCATGGAGTGTTCCCGAAGCACCAGAGTTTGACAAAGAGGAGGATATGTTGCTTGTGCTGGAGAACCCATCAGACACGTACAAAGTGAGGCTAACGGCAATTGGAAAGCCAGAGGCACCAGGTGCTCCTCCAGTTCAGCCAAGTCAGCCACAGCAGCCTCCACGTCCAGTCCAAGACGAGGAGGTGTTTCGTGCATGTTGCATATGCATTGGACGGCTGTTTGTCCCTGTGAAGGTGACAAGACCTGCCGTGCAACCCGAGCAGGCATTGCAGAGAGATCTCCACGAAATGCAGTAAAGTTTTGACATTGCAGCATGACAGCATTGGTCCCGTCCGCTGCATGCCGAAGCGATCGCAGGTCGAGGAGGCTAGGATTGAGACTGCGCCAGAGGACCACGTGAACAAAGCAGGGTCGCGAGAGTGCAAGCCACAAAACACAGTGGCTGCACGTGGCTGTAGCATGGTGCGGTCAGGGTGGTGTTGCTTGTTTTGTGGGAGAGAGGTACCCAAAATGTTTCAAGCATTTAACAATGAAGAACATCGAGACTACTTGAACAAGCATCAAGAAAAGTTGATCGCAGTCTCCAAATTCTCCTAGCTGCAGCATGTCTAACTGTTCACAGGCTCCAAATTTCCGTGTTTCTGACCGGCTCCAAACTCCACCCAGATGCTGTGAATGACGGCATTAAAGAACCAAAGAACTACAGAAAAAAAAGAAAAAACAAACAAACAACAAGAAAAGAAGGCGCGAAGGAAAGAAAGCAAGCAGGAATGAGCGAGAGAAGTGAAGAAATACTGAAACAAAGCAGTAGATACTGAAAAAAGAGAGCAATACGGAGAGAGAGAGAGAGAATAAAAGAAGAAAACCTGGAAAACATGTTTAGTAAAGACAAAAGAGAAACACGGAAGAATGGAAAACAGCAAGGCACAAGTTAAGGACAGAGGCGAAGAAATAAATCCAGGACTATCGAAAGAAATCAGGAAAAAAGCGAAATACAGAGAACACTACAGAATGCGGAAAGAAACAAATGCACCCACTTAAAAATGCAAAGAATGAGCTAGATAGTCAGCCCATACCAATTGACTATGGATTGTGTCGCCCTCACGTGCTAATTATTTGCCCATGTTCCGCCATGTTTGTATGTTTGTTTCAGACTCACTACCTACCACTTGAGTACTTTCCAATATCCTCTCGATTGCCAGACTACACATTGGGTGTGGCAAAATATTTTCACATACCGCCGAGTCCAAAGCAGAGACCGTTTTAGTAGAACTTCAATATTTGCTATGGTTTCGTCGGAAGCAAGAACGACTTGATACGAAATATTTTCGAACCTCGTAGGCCCTTTCCAAACCCATCATGCGAGTATTGCGTTTGTTGAATGGCTGCACCACCCAGCCACCCCCTCCCAGCCTCCACGCGTCCAAGCACTGTCAACTGTTTTTTTTTGCAGCCGGGGAGTAATCAGAAACATTGCAAATTATCAGCTTTCGTGGCCATGAACAGTCAGAAATGCGATTATGCACACGTTGCAATGAGAGATGCTGTAGTTAAATAAGATACAGGCATGTGGAGTGAATGAACGATCACAACCGATGTACTTCACAGCATCTGGAGCCGATGAACAAGAAGGAGTTCTGTCATTCACCGCATTTGGAGCCTCTGAGTTGTCAACAAAGCTTTTGTTTACAGAATTTGGAGTGCACAAGCTGTCAGAAGCACGGTAATCTACGGCATTTGGAGCCAGTCAGACAAGCTGCATCTCACAGATTTGCAGAACATTCTGAAATGCTGCAGTCTAGAGTATGTGGGGCTGGCTGCGGCTCTTCGCAAGCCCCGGTGCCAGCTCAGTGCGCAGGAATCTGCAGCTTCGGACGTGCACGTGTCAAACAACGTGCCAGAGGCCAGCTGCAACAAATGGATGTCCACCCACACGGCACCACCTAGATCACAGCAGGGCGTTGTGCGCGGGTTGGGGTTTACTGCTGCCAGGGAGCATATCCGTTTCCTTCAGAAAAAGGATCCAGCCAAGTTGCCGGCCTTGTTCGCCGCCTAGACTTACTTGGCTGCACGCTTCTGTCCACTTCTGTCCCCATGGAGGCGGCAAGACCTGCGGAGCAACCCGACGAGGCAGTGCAACGCGATGCCCACAAAATGCAAGGGTTTGACTGTCCGAAGCGCCCGGTACTTCGTGTACTTACTACTTAGCCACTTGGGTATGGAGCATGCAGTAGCTAGCTGTTAGTCCCTTCCGCATCCTTCCGCTGTACGACAGAGCGGTTCCAGGTCGAGCAAGCTGCGGTTGAGACTCCTCCGCAGGACTGCGCGCAAACATGGGCAAGAAGGTCTCTGCAGTCAGGAAAATGCTTGAGCTGCATCGTTTCTGGATTCTTTGAGCGACAGCAACATTGCCACTCCTTTTCCTTCAAGGGATGAGGCTGGTAAGGACAATGCCAGCTATCCTATCAGGTCTGGCAACAGTTGCCGGGCCACCACCACTTTACTTCTAGAGCAGGGTTCATGCCTAGTCTTACCAAGCATACTCCGACGTTTGCAAGCCGGCACGCCTGCTGGTGATCTGTGATGCGGAAATGCGCGGCAGTGGGCATGGTTTAGTTTAGTCCCCCTGGCTACTGAGCACTGGCTGCGGCAAGATGCGACATCTCATACCTCTAGCTTGCAGGATCTGGATGTGCCAGAGGGAAGTGATGAGGAGTACGCAGACGACATCGAGGACACAAAGCCCAAGCATAAGCCCAAGCCTGACGAGCACCCCCTAAGTAATAATATAATATAATATAATTGAATATAGTATAATATCATATAATATATATATATATATATGTATATGTTATACAGCATCTATCAGGACGAAGATGAGGTGGATGAGGATGCAGAAGAGGTGGGCTGTACTGGTCCACGCAGACAACGTGCAGAGTGTCTGCCGCAGGTGGTGCCCACTGGCGTCTCCGAGCAGGGCAAGGCTGGCAAATCAGCGCAGAACTTCGACAATCAGCGTAGAACGCGGCGTGTAAATTGGATCCAATTGGCAAGTGATCATGCGGTGTAGGGGAAAAGTTTTGTGGCCGCCATCAAGGCGGGTCCCGTTCCACCCACTGACGAGGAGCCACTTAGTGCCAGCTTGACAGCGGAGTGGAAGCTAAATTGATGACTGCACCTCTTCACAGCATGTCCCGTCAACAGCCGAATACAGCCGACATGGAAACTGAAACCGCACGAATTCGTGACTCTGGAACCAGGGATTCTGGAAACTGGGAAACTGGTAACCGCAGATTTGGGAAAATGGAATCTGGGCGGGAAACTGACCGGCAAGTAGGAGCGGCTGGATTCCGCACCCACAGCTTTGGTGTTTCAGTTCCAGCTTTATTGCTCACACTTGTGTTCCTGAGGCTTACCTTACATGTTTCATTTTGTTGGCGCAAAGCCTTACATTCTAACTGTGCCCCTTAATGACATGCACGCGGCTAAGTGGACTTTCGTTCAGCTAGGCGGGAGGCAAAAATCAGCTGTGACCGAGGAGTCTGTTGAATCAGAAGTTGCCAGGCCTCCCGAACCGAGCAACGAATCGGCATTTCTTTAATTCGATCAGGTTCCGGACATGCAATTTCCTGAACAGGGCCAGTTTGTGAACCGCAGGTTTTTTGAAGCGATGTGATCTTCTGAGCTGATCTTGTTCCCAGCGGGTCCACCCATGCACCTGCGGACTTTCCGGGGAGGATGAGTCCCCACTCTCTCATCGCTCCACGAAACGATACGGCCAAGTACCCAGAACAAACATTTACTTTGGAGAGCATCCCAGCCCGCCATTTGTGGGAGTGGCAGTCAAATAGCGGGTCTGTGTGAGTTGTATCGATGAATCTTATTGAGCCTGAAGAGGGGTGCCCCTGCTTGTTGAAGCGCAACATTCATTGAGTAGAGATAATAGCTGTCATAGCTGAAGGCGCAAACCCTGTGAGCATAGCTTGAAGGCTGAGCTGAGGGGTTGAAAAACGCATCAACAGATGAGGTTCATAGAGGGAGCTAGGAAAACACAGGCTCGTTCCCTTGGAAGCACGGCAGAATCCCTCCTCTCAAGCCCTCAGGAGTATAGAAGGTTTCTTGCGAGAGCCGTAAACATTGCAGTCCAGAATGACGCCAAAAACATACCTACTTCATTTTGTGGTACCCGAGCCACAGTGTTCCGCACCGTGTGCAGCAGTAAGATCCTTAGCCACTCAGAATACCTAAGTATACACGTATAGCCTGACTGCCAACCTCCTCGTCATCTTGAAACCCTTGCAAGCGCCAATCTAGTTGCACAGTCTTGCTTCAGTTTGCCCGGCTTGATATGATCCTCGTAACTATGACCGGAATCCATAACCCCGAAGAGCGTTGATTCCAAGACTTGATGTTGTCACTAAGTCCCGCGACGCTTGCCTTTGCCCAAGCCACCGACGGAAGAGGACACCAGAAGGGAGACTGCATCCTCGCACGTGGATTGCTAAGCGTACGAAAGCAGAGAGAGTTGCTCATTTAGACGTGCCTGCATTTAGACCAGACATGACCGGAGCTAGTCATTCACGGACAGCCATTCTCTTGAAAGCGGCAGCTCCATAGTACAGCAGCGCGCAGCTTCAAGCCTGCAGGAAGCCTTCTCTGAAGCGGCTTTGCGGAAGAGAGCGGAGCAGAAGTCGGAGCGCCTATGGAATGGGGCTCCAGCCCATTTGAAAGTGTGGTCTTTTTGAGTTTTTCAAAATTGAACTGTGTGCTGGATGTGTCCATGACCACTCAGCCTCAGGCTGAAGCAGTCCATGCAGCTGACAGCAATGATCCCCACATGCATTTAACAGCCTCTGTCTTCTTGACGTTCGGCATAGAGAGATGGGTCGGAATGGTGTTGCATTGTCGGGTTAAAGGTCGCGTGAGAAATCTGGGCACTCCTCTTGTAGATTTCGCCAGCAAATCCCAGCCTTGAGGAATATTCCATCAGTGCCTCTCAGCTGCATCCACCCGTCGTCTGTATTACGCGTAGTGCCTCTGTGAAGCCAAACCGGTTGATTCTCCAGCCCGCGCTGATCCCAGGACAAACTATCCCAAGCCATTTGCGGGCCGCATTGAGCTTACGCTGGACACCCTATCTGCCGAGGCCTCCAAGTTTGTAGAAATAACAGCACGGGCGCGTGGTTTCAGTCGTCTGAAATTTGTTGTCCCATCATGACCAATCAACTTTAATACCACGTGACACCAAAAACGGCCCTCGCAAAAGCGAGTCCCCGGCTATACTAGCCCAGGTTGCCTTTTTTTCTGCCTGGAAGGCCCAACGCAGCTTCCTGCGGGTGGCTCGTTTCGAAGCAGAGACTTGGCTACGCCCGGTACCAAGTGCTGACTGGCTCTTGCGCGCGACTTGGAGATGCGGATCCTGTAGAATTGAATGCTTGGATACAGTGGTAGCATGCCTTCAAGTTGTCACATGCCACCTCTTGGTGAGTGCATGTGGCGGCTGCATCACTTGCAGGACAACAGCAGCAAAGCTGTGAGACGCAGGCACTCGCAGGTTTGTGTTGCGCACGATTTGCTCCCCACTCGTAGCCACCTCTGTCAAGTGAATAGAAGATATTGCTAGGAGCACAAGACGCAGTCGGAAACGGACGTCTTGGATCCAAAGATTGTTTCAAAAAGATTAAAAACTGCAGAGCTGGGCCTGCCACTTCTCGCTAGGTTCGAATCGCCAGGCGACAGGCGCCCGCTGGCATCAGCTTCACACCCGCACAGTGCACGGATTTTGGGCCTCGTAGCGTTCATCGCAGCAACCTAGGCTGCTTTGTATGTGCAAAAATCGGGTGAGATTTTAAAATCTGTAGCTGCAGTTTGGACCCGAGATGCAGCTTTTGGTCCCCTCTCAGCCATGAAGAGGCAAGGCTCCTAGACCAACTTGCCGAGTGGAGGGACCGGAAAGACAAGGAGCCTCATTGCCTCGCCGCGACCCCTCGATTTAAAATTTAGCGTTCGCCTGATTTGGGGTCGATGCGCACGGCATGGTCGTAGTGACGGCGTAGTTGTTAATTAGGTTAATTAGTCGGCACATAATTAGTGCAGGTTTGGGATTACTTGTGCAACCTTGTGCATGCTTGGCGCTGGCCATGGTGCAGCAGGAGGAGCAGGAGGAGCGAAAGCGACTCGAAGAGCTGGGGGCTCTGACAGCTGGCTTATGCTTTCGAATACTTCGGTCAGCTACGACTTATCCCGACTCTTGCATTTGCCCAGGCTCGAGCGTGAGCACGAGGAGCGCGAGCAGAAGGACAGAGAGCGATGGCGGAAGCTGGGGCCTTGGGGGACTTGGATCTCTCACAGAAATTGACACAACGTCAATGCCAAAATCACGGAGGACCCGCCCCGGCTTTCTGACATTCACATCGATCTTTTTGTAGAGCGCGTAGAGTCGCGGGCGCTTTGGGCCGAGGGCTACAGTAAATGTCGTTTGAAAAAACGCTTGGTTTACCTTGAGCTTTGAGTTTGTTTCCCTGTGTACCCGGGGGAGGTCTCTTATCTCTTTCTTAAGAGGGTACGCATAGGTACGCTATACCACTAGTCCACACAGGCACCTGAAAATCCATATTTGGAGGTCTTAAGCTGCGGACGCCGAAATGGACCCAGTTGCTTCCGACGGGAGGGGAGGTACACATACACACACCCACTGCCCCCATGTGCTCTCTACGACCACACCTTTTGTCATCCGGAATACATGCAAGCGGGGGAGGGGGGGGTGGGGGTACCCACAGGGTTGGTCAAGAGATGACAAGAGCCCTGATTTCGGGCCTGTAGCCGGCTATCAAGCCTGATTTCATCGGGAGTTAACGGGGAGGGGGGAGGTACACAGGATTGGTCATCTCTTTGACTAAAGCCTTCTTTTCTGGCGGCCGGCACTTTTGTTTCTCGGGAGCAAGGGTCCATTCTTGCAGGCTCCCCTGGGGCAGAAGGCAACCTAGTTTCTTCGCAAAAAGGTCAACGCAAATCGCCCAAAATCCGAGCTAGGGGCTTCGTGATTTTATACAGTGGTTTAAGCATGGGCAATAGGGCTTTCGATGTGGCATTGCAGGCACCAGGCTCAGGTATGCCGTCCATATCAGGCCACGAGATGTTTTCCTTTGGCCAGGCGTGGCGAAGAGCTCCGACAATGCCTAGCCGTGCGAGCCCTTGACCTGTAGAATCCCACTGCGACTTGCGCACGAGGCATGTGTTTGAGTTCGTGAATGCGCTGAAAGTGTAAACAAGCTTGCGTGGCCATGTCCCTGATCTGGATCAAGACTGCCGGCATGTTTCAGGGAAGGGTTGTCGGCAGTCTGCTTTACTTATTCAGGCAGAATCGGCAGATCGGCACCTATTCCTGTATTGCACAGGTAGCACTTGCTTCTCTTAACCCACAGATCTCAGATCTCGGACCAAGACGAACAACTTAGAAGAGTGGCTGGGTCTCAAAGATGCATGGAGATTTGGCACGGCCAACCTTGAATGGCGCAGACGGACAGTGCGGAAGGCGCACTGGACGTGCGGTGAGGGATGTGAAGGTCACAGCATGTCACAGCCGTGCATTCTTGGACTTTGTTGGGCGACTGCAGGACAGACCCTGTGTAGGCATATGTAGGCAGACTTGATCTTCTTCTGTTTTTGAATCAAAAAACCACCCACAACCCCTTGTGGATGCTATGTGACCACAGACCTACAGCATAAACCATCTGAGCCTCGGCTCAACCCCACGGAGACTTGCCAAGCTTCTGCTGAGGCGCACGGCGCGCATCCACGCGGCCCAGCGGTCAGGCCTTGACTCCTGGGGAGAATTGGGGATTCAGATATCCGAATTTTCGAGGGGGTACATGAAGGGGTACCCTTGTCGTGCGAAAATACCCATATGTTTGGAGGGAGTTGTCCCATGATAGTCCATCTGGCCGGGCTTGCTTGAAACTAGATGCCAAGCGGATGCTTTTTGGGGCCCTGATTGTTGCGATATTTGCATGTTTCACAATGCAGACCAGTCTTCGATGCCAACCACTGTGAGCAGGCAGTGCGCCTGGAAGAGGATGATGCATCGGAGGAGGACTTCTTGGACCTGAGAGCTGGATATCGAAAGAGTTGTCGGGCGTGTAATGCTGAATTGAATTTGGGTTGGTCCTGGTCGATTCCAGACGATGTGATGTAGGTAGCCAGCTTGGCTAGTAATGACAAGTAGTCCACCTTGATTTCTCGAAGGACAGTGCTCAGTCCGATGCGGATGGAGACCCAACAGACTTGCAGCACATGTCCGAGGTTGAGCGGCTTCTCGGCAGCAGGCAGACAGCAGGCAGACATCTAACGGCTGTGCTCCTTGAGCTTCCAGGCATGGTTTCATGCAGATCGGTTTGGCGTGATTGTCCAAGAACCATGGTTGCTGAGGTTAGAAGCCATGAACCAGTTTGCAGCACGACGCAAGGCCGGCGGCACCAATGCCGAGGACTGTCCCACCTTTTGATATTATCTCGGCGGGGTGCACAGAGATACAATGAGACGTCTGAGATGTTGTACTATCCGGATCATGCTTGGTCAGGACACTGTCGCCAAAGCTGCGGCAGACGCTTTTGCCCAAGGGGCTCCAAAGGTGGGCGGTGGGGAGCACAATTGACTACACAAAGCAACACGTAGAGTAGTTCTATGCATGTTGAAGCGTTTATATGATCCTACACTGGGTTGAGATGAACTGTCGAGCACAGATTGGACAATGAGCCATTGGTTTGCCAATTTGTTCTTGAGGTGATCTTGCCGGTGAAGGAAGCATCGGACCTGCCAGAGAGGCTGCACTGGCCTGGGTTGCACGGTGCATGTAAGCCAATGTAGGCAACATCATCATCGAGAACAACGTGGTAAGATGCATGCCTTCGCAGCAGGTCTGGCTGGGTCAAGCGCATGGGGGAGAATCTGGCCTTTTTCCCAAGCTGGCAGTGGCGATGGCTGGTACTCAAAGCCCTTTGGCCCATGCATTTCTAACCCGCACAACTGCATTCGTGCTTGCAATGGATAGTCTGAAGTGCTGACGGCAGTGCAAGGACTGCCGCGTGGCATGGTTTGAGGGTGCCACAGCTGCATGTGAGTCTATTGTTTACATTGACAATGATCGGAAGGTTCTGCTTAGTATATGTCATGCCATGTCATGCCGGACTTGGTCCTGTGTAGCCTACATCGCCTGCTGGCGAAGGCCCTGACAAGAGACGCCTTCATGGTGGCCCGGGCTGCCCTTCTCGTGCTCGGGGAAACTCGCGTGGTCTCGTGCTGGATGCTGCCTTCAGCTCCCAGAACATCTGAAGGAAGAGGAAGGGTAAGCTGATGCTGGGCCACACACTGGTCTTGAAGCCAGGTGTGTCTTGATGTGAGAATGGAAATGTAGAGAATAGAGAACGGAAATGGACTCAGAAATATACATGTATGAATAGATATATGGTGCCCCACGGGACTTACCTGCCAAGCTTTCTTGCTGAGGTCCGGTGGGGAGGGGGAAATCTAGACAGAAATTGTCCCTGATTTTTTAAAGCTTTCTTGGTAAGGTTCGGTGGGGAGGGGAAAATGTCGACGGATAATACTTAAGAGCATTTCGACCCTCTGCGACTTTAAAGAGAGTTTAAGTCGCCGCCCTTGGATCCAAAATCCAAGAGACTTAGGAGCATTTGGGCGGTCGACTGTTTGTATAGACTGTCACGTTTGCGAAGCGGCAGGCGTGCCTTGTGCTGGCGCTGTATGGCTCTCCATGTGTAGCGTTCAGCTGCTAGGTCAGCGGGTACGGCCCGCGCTGTAGCGCGCATCACGGCTTCTGGCTGTTCTCTGAGGGGTTTTGTTAGTTAGGCTTGACTCGTCTGACCTTTCCCTCCGCAGAGTGTGTGTGTGTGTGTGTGTGTCTGTGTGTCTGTGTGTCTGTGTGTCTGTGTGTCTGTGTGTCTGTGTGTCTGTGTGTCTGTGTGTCTGTGTGTCTGTGTGTCTGTGTCTCTGTGTCTCTGTGTCTCTGTGTCTCTGTGTCTCTGTGTCTCTGTGTCTCTGTGTCTCTGTGTCTCTGTGTGTCTCTGTGTCTCTGTGTCTGTGTGTGTGTGTGTGTCCGTGTGTCTGTGTGTCTGTGTGTCTGTGTGTCTGTGTGTGTGTGACTGTAATGTAAATTGACTTGAAAGCCGATGGCGCCCCCAGACCCAAGATCCAATATGCCTTAGAAAGTCATCTTGGACGCGGGGGCGTCGCATGTAAAGTCACTCTCAAGTCGCTCCTTGGGGCCGATTCCTCTAAGTACTCGTACCAGAGGGCCCGGGGACATTGTCTCCCACTTGCAAATGTCAATCAACAATTCTTAAAAGGTAGGTCCTGCTGGAGAAAAGGGGCAGCTTATATGTATCTACATAAAGACAAACATATATATATATATATGTAGATATATATATATATATGCCTGCTATTATGTGTAGAGCAGTGCCTTCAACCCGAAGTGCCAGGTGTGATCGACTTCGAGCTTGTGGAAGTGGAACTGGAGCGGCTCTGGGACGACCCGTCCACCAGCGAAGCTTCACGCCCCTCAGCAGACCACAATCAGAAGCAGAGTCCGCGTCGGATGAATGGGGAAAGAGTGCTGGAAGACTGACGGAGGAGTGGAGGGACGGATCCCCCTTCCGGGAGAGTGTTGGAAGTTAGGCTCGCCCTGGGGCTTGCAATGGTAAGATGCTTGACGCAGGTAGCCAGGTGGTCAGGAGAGGCAAAGATCGCGGCTGCCGGCCCTTTGGCTGTTCAGGATGTTGGTGGGGTTATGTTGAGGATGGCCGGATGGCTTTCAGTGAAGCTTTGCACGCTGCGTCCTATGTGAGTGAGAGATGGTGAGAACAGTGAAAGAGATAGAGAGAGTATCCTGCGTTGTGGCGTTCAAGTACACCAGGGCGTTTTCAATTGCAGTCTCACACCGACAGCATACCTGAGGGTGGGCCTGGAGGAAGTGCAATGTAGCCCTTCAACCAAACCTTGGCCCTCCCTCCCTTGTAACAAACTCTTGCTTCAGGGCAGTGTGTATCTCTGGCCTCTTCGGTTCGGATGAAGCATCCTTCCGACTTCTCGCTGCTGGAAGCAACAGGGCCTTCGAGTTTGGTCCTTTGGGCTGCAGCAAGTTGTAGGTTTCTTGCAGTGCGGTCTTGGGGGAGCTTCGGAGATGGAGACTAGCCGGCAACGCCTCGCAGGAGGAAAGAAGGGTGTACGTAGACCATTCCGATCACTCGAAGAGCGCGGTGCTTTGAGGAAGAGTGGAACGCATTTGTCCCTTCCTTCATGTAAGTGCATAGCCATGCATAACCCATTGGCTCTGATGCGTCCTAGCTAGCTGGGCGTTGCAAGCAAGGCGTTGCCACCCGGAAAGAGGCTGGCTACTGGATGGACGATGTAATGGCTCACCTGGAGGACTGGAACGAGCGTGCACCTGTAGGCTCAACCTCCGAATCGCATGGCAAGCTGTCAGCTGGTTTGACTCTACGCAGCTCAATGAAAAAAGTTGGGGAAGGAGGCAGACCACCGCTGCCAGGGCCGATCACGACTCAGCGCTGAAAGGCCAGGTGGGAGTCTGCGAAACTCTGTAGCACAATATAGCACGCACGTGCTTCCATGCTTTTCTATGCGCAACTCTGAAGCCATCCAACTCGGAACCTGGGACTCAGGTTGAACGACTTCCAGCGAAGCCGCATAAAGAATGCTTGGTGGAGTCTAGTCGGCAACTAAATATGCAGAGGCCGCTGCAACGTTCCACGAAAGGTTGTGAAGTGAAGTCCGCTAGGCAGGAACAAAAAATAAAAAGCTGCAATCGAAAACAGGATCAGTGCATACAGTGCATGCTGGTTCTTTCGTCACCAAACACGGGCACCCGCAAGTCTTCTCCAGTGGGCTTGACAACCGTTCAGCCTGCAACCGCCTCGTTCAGGGAGAAGGCCACTGTTGAGAAAGCCTGCCCTCGAAAAACGATACTACAAGTCTTGCACAAGCCTGAGCAGCTTTAGCAAGCGATTCGAGGTGCGTTGGGGTTTAGCTGTGTTGACTGCCCTCAGGAAAGTTAGCCGGATATGGTTTTCAGTGAGTTTTTTTTCCGGGCTTGTAACAGGCACCGGGGGGTCCCTCCGCGACAAAGGTTTGTAACAGACGTGCCGTGTCC